TGCAGTGAGACTTTTTTTCCCATCCCATTCTACTCGGAAGTGTCTTCTTGACTTAAATTGTCCTCTTTTGCACAGCATTATTCTTGTTCCTTTTGCTCATCGTCCTTTTTGTTTTTTTTTCTGCCCACAAAAGGACGAGAAAGATCAAATGATCACCTCCATCATCTGGATCGACATGGCAAGTGCGCCAAAAATTTGATTGATCAAGACGTAATTGGTAAAGATTGGCTTCCAACCCCCCACGTCCTGCTTAGTTATTTGGTTTGAACTCGTGTCACACAGTGGATACCAATTCGCCCAGTACTCCCCCCCTTCCCCCAGTCCCCTGACAGCGAATAAGCCGGACCTGTTTGGTTAAAAGTTCTCAACGTTTGGCGTCTGAGATGGTTATAGCCTACGAGAAAGCGAACAGGCAAAGCCTGCGGACTCACTGAATAGCTGAATCCCCGTCCAGATCGGCGCAGAATATCGGCGAAACACGCGTTTGCGGGCTTTTGGCCGGTATCCAGGCCGTCAATATAGTGAATAATGCCTAGAAGTAATGATTTACTGTGAGTGGCCTATCTCACGAAATGTGGGCTGAAATTCTGAAATGCGTTTACGATTAGGAAGGATTACTTGATCGCGGTTGTAATACTGCTTATTTTGTGGCATACTCTTATGACATTTCGGACTTGGCAGGATGTCGGCTTTTAAATGCACTTCTTTTCAATCTCCTGTAGAAAGCGTGCTTGGTTAAAAATGATTACTTATGTAGCATGCATTTTTCCCATTGATTTTCGATGGTCTTGGAAATTCAAATATATTTTATAGAAACCATAAACATAAATATGCTTTCTTCTAGTTAATCAATAGAGAATCACGTCTTCTTTATATTTTATACTTAGGGTAGGAGTATAATTAGGTTTTAAAAAGTTTCTAATTATGAGACTTTTTAAAACCGCGAAATGTCCATTCACAAAGCATCGTAAATTTTATAGACTCCGTATGATATCTCTTTAATGGCATAGAAAAATATGTGATTTTCTTTACGCGGAACGCATGCACCTTGTAGAGTGAAATCACTAAGCGCTAATGCAACGAATAATCAGGCTCCAAATTATTCGGCAAGTAGAAAACTTTTTTAAAACCTAATTATACCCTAAGTATAAAATATAAAGAAGACGTGATTCTCTATTGATTAACTAGAAGAAAGCATATTTATGTTCATGGTTTCTATAAAATATATTTGAATTTCCAAGACCATTGAAAATCAATGGGAAAAATGCGTGCTACGTAAGTAGTCATTTTTTACTGAGCACGCTTCCTACAGGAGATTGGAAAGAAGTGCAGTTAAAAACCGACATTCTGCCAAGTCCGAAATGTTATAAGAGTATGCCACAAGATAAGCAGTATTACAACCGCGATCAAGTAATCCTTCCTAATCGTAAACGCATTTCAGAATTTCAGCCAACATTTCATGAGATAGGTCACTCACTGTAACATAAAGATACTCACGACTGAGAAGACGCAGATGCTGACCAGCGCTTTGTCAGACCAACTGGATACCTTCATTGGCCACCTAGACAACAGTATTTAGAATATATTGAAACCAGGTAAGAACAGTCGTGTTCCGGCCTAGGGATTTATAGCCTCCCTTGTGAAACAAGTAACATCGACGACAAATTTCAGCAGCTCGACAACTCACACGTCGTCTTCACGTCTCCTGTGAAGTCAGTTCAGACATAAGGAGGACAGATATTCATCCTGTTGTAGACTGTCATTTTGAATAGTAGTAAGAACTTTCCCAACGCAGACTAAGGGAAACAGAAAAGCTAGCAAGGTCAGAAAAGTTGTGTTTCCAGGAGCGGAGGGGGGGGGGGGGGTCGGAGCGAAACTCAGACTTTGCGGTTTCACGTGTGATGCTCTGCCATCAGGCTACGGTCGGCGCATCTCCCTGCTCAAGCTGATTGGCTTTTTGGTTCCCCGTTTTCTACAGTCTGTACTGAGAAAGTGAACGCCGAAAGAGAATGATGCGATCGTAGGAGCAAGAATCTTATTGGCCTGGAGTTTCGAATTCTCACTCGGAACCATTATGTGAGACAGTGGCAGATGTATTCGAAAGGTCAGGCCAATAAGCTCCTTATTTCAGAGCTCGAATCTTCCCCCCCCCTAAACAGTTTCCTGGAACTAGCCTCTTCAAATCTGTTGACAGATTTAGTGCTAAATACTGTCTAAAAGTCTTGCGCGCAGCTGCGAGGGTGCCAGTAATACATTTGCGTAATTGAGTCTTCAGTGACAGAGAATATAACATAAAATCCACGTGGTCAACGCTCTTTACTGAGGATTTTCTGAGGTAACAACGACGACTTCGTCGGGAATAATAGCTGACTCCGTAGCGTATTCAATATACGTACAGGAGGTGGGTTAACTCATGAACTGTCGACCGGAATTCCGAAATGCGTTTTCTTTTCGAAAAGACGAATTAAGTAGGGTTGTACAACTAATAATCATGCAACATAATTCTATAATAATTCAGTTACCTCAGGATGCTGGCTTTAAAACGAACGTCGTTCCGGCTGCATGCGAAAACCAAACTCTGTAAAGGATGACTATTTAAGTGGCATGCATTTTTCTCCTTGATTTTTGATGCCCTTAAAAATTCAATTATATATCATGGAAAACATGCATAAAAATATTCATTTCTTTGCTCATTCGGTAGAAAATTACGTCTTCTTCCAAGGTTTTACTCACAGGAAGAGTATAATTCCGTGTTAAAAAATTTTCTAATTGTGATATTTTTTATACTGTGAAATGCCGTTCATAAAACGTCATGTCTTTGCATTTACCAATGTGGTTCGAAAAGTTGATAATATTGCTCAAATCCACTGCTAAGTTTTATGAACCCCATATGGTCTTCTCTTAATACCGTGAAGAAATGTTTGGTTTTCCATACGCGGTAAATTGACGGCTCGTAGTTTGAAAACCCTGAATGAAAGTTTAACGGCAGGTCGGGTTCAAAATTAGTCGGGCACTGGAAAAGTTTTTGAAAGCCGAATAATGCACTTCTTTCGAGTATAAAACTGGAAAAAGACGCAATTTTTTACCAAATGAGCTGGAGAATGAGTATTTTTATGCATGTTTTCCATGAAATATAATTGAATTTTAAGAGCATCAAAAATCAGTGAGGAAAATTCATGCTAAGCAAGCAGTCATTTTTAACAGAGTGTGCTCTTTGCTCGCGGCCGGAGAGAAGTTCGTTTGAAAGCTGGCATCCTGAAGTAACTGAATCATTATAGAATTATGCTGCATGATGACTAGTTTTTCAATCCAACTTAATTAATCTTTTCGAAGCGAAAACACATTTCGGAATTTCGGTTGACTTTTCATGAGTTAGCCCACCTACTGTACGATAGTTCAACTACCGTAAACAACAACTTTCACCGGCTGCCCCACGGGCTGGTGGGTGTTGGACGATGACTTGCGCGGGAGTTACTTTGCAGCTAGGGAGACTTACGAAGTATCCTTCACACTCTCTCCTTCCCCATTAACCTGACTCTGGCGACAGGACTACTGGAGGTGAATACTTGCGAAGTGGCTGACAAACGTAAACCGCCCGTCTACGCGTGCCAAACACGACCTGTCCCCACTGTATGTGCCAAGCTTTCCGGGGAGCGGCCAGAATCTCAGATTTTGAAGTGTGCCCTTGTTGTCATAGTAAGAGGGAGCAATTGTGATCTGATTCCTATTTTGAGGAGGGGTTGAATTATTCCGTTGACTGGTCAACCTTTCAACGGCTATTAGCGCGTCGTAAAAGAATTAAGCTTATTAGCTTTATTACAGTACAGAAGAGTACGTTAATTTGTCATGAGAATTATTTCCTCATAGTCGTTTCCTTCACCATGATGAATGCGGTGTGGAAGCCTATTCCTTGGCCTATCGCCATACCCCCCATGTGCAGCGGCAGTTATTAGCTTGTGCTAACTCCGTGCAGCCCAATAAACGCGTGCGGTGAGTCAATCTGACCCCCGTTTTTAGTCCAGCGCATTTGCAGTACAGCGAGTTGTGGGAAAAAACTTAATACGCATAGAAGTGGATTTACCACAGATCTAATAGAGCCCCTAAATGAAAGTTTGGTAACATG